GATGGGTGGAGGTGGGTCAAGGATGGGTGGAGGTGGGTCAAGGATGATGGAGGTGGGTCAAGGATGGGTGGAGGTGGGTCAAGGATGGGTGGAGGCAGGTCAAGGATGGTGAAGGTGGGTCAAAGATGATAGAGATGGGTCAAGGATGGATGGAGGTGGGTCAGGGATGGGTGGACGTGGGTCAAGGATGGATGGAGGTGGGTCAGGGATGGGTGGACGTGGGTCAAGGATGGATGGAGGTGGGTTAGGGATGGATGGAAATGGGTCAAGGATGGTGGAGGTGGGTCAAGGATGATAGAGATGGGTCAAGGATGGATGGAGGTGGGTCAGGGATGGGTGGACGTGGGCCAAGGATGGATGGAGGTGGGTCCAGGATGGATGGAGGTGGGTCCAGGATGGTGGATGTGGGTCAAGGACAGATGGAGGTGGGTCAAGGATAAATGAAGGTGGGTGCTGGACAGACGGATGTAGGTCAATGATGGATGGAGATGGGTCAAGGATGGGTGGAGGTGGGCCAAGGATAGACCCAGCCATGTGGATGAAGGATGGACCCAGTAGGGCCACAGGTGGACGCAGGGTGGACACAGGAGGATGGATGGAGGTAGACACACCCGGGACGCAGGATGGATGAAGGTTTGTGAGAGGATGGACCCAGGAGGGACGCAGGACGGTTGGATGATGGACATGGGATGGATGGAGGCAGGTGGATGGAGGATGGACAGAAGATGGACACAAGTAGATGGAGGATGGAGCCAGCTGGACCTCCAGGATGGACAGAGGTGAATGGAGGATGGATGGAGATGGAGCGAGGTGGACCCAGGATGGACGCAGGACAGTTGGAGGATGAACGCAGGATGGATGAAGCCAGGATGGAGACAGGTGGACCTCCAGGATGGAGGTGGGTGGATGCACGATGGAGGATGGACACAGGATGGAGGTGGATGGACCTCCAGGGTGGAGGATGGACGGAGAATGGAGTCAGATGGACCCAGGATGGATGAAGAAGGAGCCAGGTAGATTCAGGATGGACAAAGATGGATGGAAGATGGATGGAGATGGATCCAGGTGGACCAAGGCCAGATGCAGGATGGTTGGAGGATGGATGGAGCCAGGATAGACCCAGGATGGACAAAGGTGGATGAGGGGTGGATGGAGGATGGAGTCAGATAGACCAAGATGGGTGGAGGATGGAGCCAGGTGGACCAAGGATGGACCCAGGTGGATGGAGGATGGATAAAGATGAAGCCAGATGGAGCCAGGATGGACATGGATGGATGGATGGATGGAGCCAGATGGACCCAGGATGGATCCAGGTGGATGGAGGATGGAGCCAGATGGACCCAGAATGGAGGCAGATGAACCTCCAGGATGGAGGTGGGTGGATGCACAATGAAGACTGGACACAGGATGGAGCCAGATGGATTGAGGATGGATGGAGATGGAGCCAAGGTGGATGGAGGATGGATGGAGATGGAGCCAAGGTGGACCCAGGATGGACAAAGATGGATGAAGGATGGAGCCAGGTGGACCCAGGATGGACAAAGGTGGACAGGGGGTGGATGGAGGATGGATAAAGATGAAGCCAGATGGACCCAGGATGGACACGGATGGATGGATGGATGGATGGATGGATGGATGGATGGATGGAGCCAGATGGACCCAGGATGGACAAAGGTGGACCTCCAGGATGGAGGTGGATGGATGCACGATGGAGATTGGACACAGGATGAAGCCAAGGTGGATTGAGGATGGATGGAGATGGACCAAGGTGGGTGGAGGATGGATGGAGATGGACCAAGGTGGATGGAGGATGGATGGAGATGGAGCCAAGGTGGATGGAGGATGGATGGAGATGGACCAAGTGGATGGAGGATGGATGGAGATGGACCAAGTGGATGAAGGATGGATGGAGATGGACCAAGGTGGACCCAGGATGGACAAAGATGGACAAAGGATGGAGCCAAGGTGGATTGAGGATGGATGGAGATGGAGCCAAGGTGGATGGAGGATGGATGGAGATGGACCAAGGTGGGTGGAGGATGGATGGAGATGGACCAAGGTGGACCCAGGAGGGACAAAGATGGACGAAGGATGGAGCCAGGTGGACCCAAGATGAACAAAGGTGGATGGAGATGGATCCAGGTGGACCAAGGCCAGACACAGGATGGTTGGAGGAGGGATGGAGGACAAGGTGGTGGTCCCGGGGGTGGTGGCATCACCTCACGGTCCAGGGCCCGGCCGGCCGAGACGGGTGGAGGTGGGTCAAGGATGGGTGGAGGTGGGTCAAGGATGATGGAGGTGGGTCAAGGATGGGTGGAGGTGGGTCAAGGATGGGTGGAGGCAGGTCAAGGATGGTGAAGGTGGGTCAAAGATGATAGAGATGGGTCAAGGATGGATGGAGGTGGGTCAGGGATGGGTGGACGTGGGTCAAGGATGGATGGAGGTGGGTCAGGGATGGGTGGACGTGGGTCAAGGATGGATGGAGGTGGGTTAGGGATGGATGGAAATGGGTCAAGGATGGTGGAGGTGGGTCAAGGATGATAGAGATGGGTCAAGGATGGATGGAGGTGGGTCAGGGATGGGTGGACGTGGGCCAAGGATGGATGGAGGTGGGTCCAGGATGGATGGAGGTGGGTCCAGGATGGTGGATGTGGGTCAAGGACAGATGGAGGTGGGTCAAGGATAAATGAAGGTGGGTGCTGGACAGACGGATGTAGGTCAATGATGGATGGAGATGGGTCAAGGATGGGTGGAGGTGGGCCAAGGATAGACCCAGCCATGTGGATGAAGGATGGACCCAGTAGGGCCACAGGTGGACGCAGGGTGGACACAGGAGGATGGATGGAGGTAGACACACCCGGGACGCAGGATGGATGAAGGTTTGTGAGAGGATGGACCCAGGAGGGACGCAGGACGGTTGGATGATGGACATGGGATGGATGGAGGCAGGTGGATGGAGGATGGACAGAAGATGGACACAAGTAGATGGAGGATGGAGCCAGCTGGACCTCCAGGATGGACAGAGGTGAATGGAGGATGGATGGAGATGGAGCGAGGTGGACCCAGGATGGACGCAGGACAGTTGGAGGATGAACGCAGGATGGATGAAGCCAGGATGGAGACAGGTGGACCTCCAGGATGGAGGTGGGTGGATGCACGATGGAGGATGGACACAGGATGGAGGTGGATGGACCTCCAGGGTGGAGGATGGACGGAGAATGGAGTCAGATGGACCCAGGATGGATGAAGAAGGAGCCAGGTAGATTCAGGATGGACAAAGATGGATGGAAGATGGATGGAGATGGATCCAGGTGGACCAAGGCCAGATGCAGGATGGTTGGAGGATGGATGGAGCCAGGATAGACCCAGGATGGACAAAGGTGGATGAGGGGTGGATGGAGGATGGAGTCAGATAGACCAAGATGGGTGGAGGATGGAGCCAGGTGGACCAAGGATGGACCCAGGTGGATGGAGGATGGATAAAGATGAAGCCAGATGGAGCCAGGATGGACATGGATGGATGGATGGATGGAGCCAGATGGACCCAGGATGGATCCAGGTGGATGGAGGATGGAGCCAGATGGACCCAGAATGGAGGCAGATGAACCTCCAGGATGGAGGTGGGTGGATGCACAATGAAGACTGGACACAGGATGGAGCCAGATGGATTGAGGATGGATGGAGATGGAGCCAAGGTGGATGGAGGATGGATGGAGATGGAGCCAAGGTGGACCCAGGATGGACAAAGATGGATGAAGGATGGAGCCAGGTGGACCCAGGATGGACAAAGGTGGACAGGGGGTGGATGGAGGATGGATAAAGATGAAGCCAGATGGACCCAGGATGGACACGGATGGATGGATGGATGGATGGATGGATGGATGGATGGATGGAGCCAGATGGACCCAGGATGGACAAAGGTGGACCTCCAGGATGGAGGTGGATGGATGCACGATGGAGATTGGACACAGGATGAAGCCAAGGTGGATTGAGGATGGATGGAGATGGACCAAGGTGGGTGGAGGATGGATGGAGATGGACCAAGGTGGATGGAGGATGGATGGAGATGGACCAAGGTGGACCCAGGATGGACAAAGATGGACAAAGGATGGAGCCAAGGTGGATGGAGGATGGATGGAGATGGAGCCAAGGTGGATGGAGGATGGATGGAGATGGACCAAGTGGATGGAGGATGGATGGAGATGGACCAAGTGGATGAAGGATGGATGGAGATGGACCAAGGTGGACCCAGGATGGACAAAGATGGACAAAGGATGGAGCCAAGGTGGATTGAGGATGGATGGAGATGGAGCCAAGGTGGATGGAGGATGGATGGAGATGGACCAAGGTGGGTGGAGGATGGATGGAGATGGACCAAGGTGGACCCAGGAGGGACAAAGATGGACGAAGGATGGAGCCAGGTGGACCCAAGATGAACAAAGGAGATGGAGATGGACCAAGTGGATGGAGGATGGATGGAGATGGACCAAGTGGATGAAGGATGGATGGAGATGGACCAAGGTGGACCCAGGATGGACAAAGATGGACAAAGGATGGAGCCAAGGTGGATTGAGGATGGATGGAGATGGAGCCAAGGTGGATGGAGGATGGATGGAGATGGACCAAGGTGGGTGGAGGATGGATGGAGATGGACCAAGGTGGACCCAGGAGGGACAAAGATGGACGAAGGATGGAGCCAGGTGGACCCAAGATGAACAAAGGTGGATGGAGATGGATCCAGGTGGACCAAGGCCAGACACAGGATGGTTGGAGGAGGGATGGAGGACAAGGTGGTGGTCCCGGGGGTGGTGGCATCACCTCACGGTCCAGGGCCCGGCCGGCCGAGACGTTGAGCCTGACGCTGCGACCGTCCAGGTAGAACCAGGTGGCATCTGCACCGGTCAGGCAGAGCTGGAGGCCACCGCTGCCCGTGTCCCCCGCCGGTGGCAGCCGGGCCACCAGGCTCCCGTGGGCGCTGTTCTCCGTGATCTCCGTGAAGAGGTTCCCAAAACCGCTGCATCCGTCACCCCGGGCTGGTGCCACCACCGGGGGGGGGGTCAGGGACGGGGACACGTGCCCGGCCACCCCCTGGTCCACGGGGTGGAGGTCCCCAGAGGTCCCCAGAGGTCCCCAGCCCACGGGTTCCTGTCCCCTGGGTCACCATCTTCACATCCCCACCTCCTGATGGTCATCCCCAGGGTTCCTGTCCCCTGGGTCACCATCTCCAGGTCCCCAACCCTTGGGTCCCCACCCCCGATGGCCATCCTCAAGGTTCCTGTCCCCTGGGTCACCATCTCCAGGTCCCCACCTCCTGATGGTCATCCTCGAGGTTCCTGTCCCCTGGGTCACCATCTCCAGGTCCCCACCTCCTGATGGTCATCCTCAAGGTTCCTGTCCCCTAGGTCACCATCTCCAGGTCCCCAAACCCTGGGTCCCCACCCCCATGGCCATCCTTGAGGTTCCTGTCCCCTGGGTCATCATCTTCAGATCCCCACCTCCTGATGGCCATCCTCGAGGTTCCTGTCCCCTGGGTCACCATCTCCAGGTCCCCAACCCCTGGGTCCCCACCCCCTGATGGCCATCCTCAAGGTTCCTGTCCCCTGGGTCACCATCTTCAGATCCCCACCTCCTGATGGTCATCCCCAGGGTTCCTGTCCCCTGGGTCACCATCTTCAGGGCCCCCACCCCCTGATGGCCATCCTCAAGGTTCCTGTCCCCTGGGTCACCATCTCCAGGTCCCCAACCCCTGGGTCCCCACCCCCGATGGTCATCCCTGGGGTTCCTGTCCTCTGGGTCACCATCTCCGGGTCCCCAACCCCTGAGTCTCCACCTCCTGATGGCCATCCTCAAGGTTCCTGTCCCCTGGGTCACCATCTCCAGGTCCCCAACCCCTGGGTCTCCACCCCGTGATGGCCATCCTTGAGGTTCCTGTCCCCTGGGTCACCATCTCCAGGTCCCCAAACCCTGGGTCCCCACCTCCTGATGGTCATCCCCAGGGTTCCTGTCCCCTGGGTCACCATCTCCAGGTCCTCTCCTGATGGTCCTCCCCAGGGTTCCTGTCCCCTGGGTCACCATCTCCAGGTCCCCAAATCCTGGGTCCCCACCCCCTGATGGCCATCCTCGAGGTTCCTGTCCCCTGGGTCACCATCTCCAGGTCCCCACATCCCATGTGCCCATCCTCAGGTCTCCATCCCTTAAGGTCCCCTGGGTCCCCATGCTCTTGGGTCCCCATCTCTCATGGTTGCCACCCCCAGAGTCACTATCTCCAGGGTCCCCATCTCAAGGTCCCCATTCCCTGGTGGCCTTGTCCCCCAAGTCCCCATGCCCTTGGGTCCCCATCTCTCATGGTTGCCCCCCCCAGAGTCACTATCTCCAGGGTCCCCATCTCAAGGTCCCCATTCCCTGGTGGCCTTGTCCCCCAAGTCCCCATGCCCTTGGGTCCCCATCTCTCATGGTTGCCCCCCCCAGAGTCACTATCTCCAGGGTCCCCATCTCAAGGTCCCCATTCCCTGGTGGCCTTGTCCCCCAAGTCCCCATGCCCTTGGGTCCCCATCTCTCATGGTTGCCCCCCCCAGAGTCACTATCTCCAGGGTCCCCATCTCAAGGTCCCCATTCCCTGGTGGCCTTGTCCCCCAAGTCCCCATGCCCTTGGGTCCCCATCTCTCATGGTTGCCCCCCCCAGAGTCACTATCTCCAGGGTCCCCATCTCAAGGTCCCCATTCCCTGGTGGCCTTGTCCCCCAAGTCCCCATGCCCTTGGGTCCCCATCTCTCATGGTTGCCCCCCCCAGAGTCACTATCTCCAGGGTCCCCATCTCAAGGTCCCCATTCCCTGGTGGCCTTGTCCCCCAAGTCCCCATGCCCTTGGGTCCCCATCTCTCATGGTTGCCCCCCCCAGAGTCACTATCTCCAGGGTCCCCATCTCAAGGTCCCCATTCCCTGGTGGCCTTGTCCCCCAAGTCCCCATGCCCTTGGGTCCCCATCTCTCATGGTTGCCCCCCCCAGAGTCACTATCTCCAGGGTCCCCATCTCAAGGTCCCCATTCCCTGGTGGCCTTGTCCCCCAAGTCCCCATGCCCTTGGGTCCCCATCTCTCATGGTTGCCCCCCCCAGAGTCACTATCTCCAGGGTCCCCATCTCAAGGTCCCCATTCCCTGGTGGCCTTGTCCCCCAAGTCCCCATGCCCTTGGGTCCCCATCTCTCATGGTTGCCCCCCCCAGAGTCACTATCTCCAGGGTCCCCATCTCAAGGTCCCCATTCCCTGGTGGCCTTGTCCCCCAAGTCCCCATGCCCTTGGGTCCCCATCTCTCATGGTTGCCCCCCCCAGAGTCACTATCTCCAGGGTCCCCATCTCAAGGTCCCCATTCCCTGGTGGCCTTGTCCCCCAAGTCCCCATGCCCTTGGGTCCCCATCTCTCATGGTTGCCCCCCCCAGAGTCACTATCTCCAGGGTCCCCATCTCAAGGTCCCCATTCCCTGGTGGCCTTGTCCCCCAAGTCCCCATGCCCTTGGGTCCCCATCTCTCATGGTTGCCCCCCCCAGAGTCACTATCTCCAGGGTCCCCATCTCAAGGTCCCCATTCCCTGGTGGCCTTGTCCCCCAAGTCCCCATGCCCTTGGGTCCCCATCTCTCATGGTTGCCCCCCCCAGAGTCACTATCTCCAGGGTCCCCATCTCAAGGTCCCCATTCCCTGGTGGCCTTGTCCCCCAAGTCCCCATGCCCTTGGGTCCCCATCTCTCATGGTTGCCCCCCCCAGAGTCACTATCTCCAGGGTCCCCATCTCAAGGTCCCCATTCCCTGGTGGCCTTGTCCCCCAAGTCCCCATGCCCTTGGGTCCCCATCTCTCATGGTTGCCCCCCCCAGAGTCACTATCTCCAGGGTCCCCATCTCAAGGTCCCCATTCCCTGGTGGCCTTGTCCCCCAAGTCCCCATGCCCTTGGGTCCCCATCTCTCATGGTTGCCCCCCCCAGAGTCACTATCTCCAGGGTCCCCATCTCAAGGTCCCCATTCCCTGGTGGCCTTGTCCCCCAAGTCCCCATGCCCTTGGGTCCCCATCTCTCATGGTTGCCCCCCCCAGAGTCACTATCTCCAGGGTCCCCATCTCAAGGTCCCCATTCCCTGGTGGCCTTGTCCCCCAAGTCCCCATGCCCTTGGGTCCCCATCTCTCATGGTTGCCACCCCCAGAGTCACTATCTCCAGGGTCCCCATCTCAAGGTCCCCATTCCCTGGTGGCCTTGTCCCCCAAGTCCCCATGCCCTTGGGTCCCCATCTCTCATGGTTGCCACCTCCAGGGTCACCTTCCCCAGGTCCACCATTTCTGGTGACCCTGTCCCCTGAGACCCCAATTCCAGGGTCCCCATGTCCTTGGGTCCCCATCTCTTGTGGTTGCCATCCCCAGGTCCCCCATCTCCAGGTCCTCATTCCCTGGAGACATTGTCCCCTGGGTCCCCATGTCTTTGGGTCCCCACCTCTCATGGTTGTCACCCCCAGGGTCACTATCTCCAGGTCCCCCATCTCCAGGTCCCCCTTCTCTGGTGACATTGTCCTCTGCGTCCCCAATTCCTTGGGTCCCCATCTCTCATGGTTGTCACCTCCAGGGAGACCATCCCCAGGTCCCCACTCTCTGGTGACATTGTCCCCTTGGTCCCCAAATTCAGGGTCCCCACCTCTCATGGTTGCCACCTCCAAGGTCCCCCATCTCCAGGTCCTCATTCCCTGGAGACATTGTCCCCTGGGTCCCCAAGTCCTTAGGTCCTCATCTCCAGGTCCCCATTCCTTGGTGACCCTGTCCTCTGGGTCCCCATCCTTGGGTCCCCATATCCTTGGGTCCCCATCTCTTGTGGTTGCCACCCCCAGGTCCTCCATCTCCAGGTCCCCCATCTCTGGTGACCCTGTCCCCTTGGTCCCCAATCCCTTGGGTCCCCATCTCTCATGGTTGACACCCCCAAGTCCTCCATCTCCAGGTCCCCCATCTCTGGTGACCCTGTCCCCTTGGTCCCCAATCCCTTGGGTCCCCATCTCTCGTGGTTGCCACCCCCAGGTCACCTCTCATGGTTGTCACCCCCAGGGTCACTATCTCCAGGTCCCCCATCTCCAGGTCCCCCTTCTCTGGTGACATTGTCCTCTGCGTCCCCAATTCCTTGGGTCCCCATCTCTCATGGTTGTCACCTCCAGGGAGACCATCTCCAGGTCCCCCTTCTCTGGTGACATTGTCCTCTGCGTCCCCAATTCCTTGGGTCCCCATCTCTCATGGTTGTCACCCCCAGGGTCACTATCTCCAGGTCCCCCCTCTCTGGTGGCCTTGTCCCCTGGGTCGCCATGTCCTTGGGTCCCCATATCCTTGGGTCCCCATATCCTTGGGTCCCCATATCCTTGGGTCCCCATATCCTTGGGTCCCCATATCCTTGGGTCCCCATATCCTTGGGTCCCCATATCCTTGGGTCCCCATATCCTTGGGTCCCCATATCCTTGGGTCCCCATATCCTTGGGTCCCCATATCCTTGGGTCCCCATATCCTTGGGTCCCCATATCCTTGGGTCCCCATATCCTTGGGTCCCCATATCCTTGGGTCCCCATATCCTTGGGTCCCCATATCCTTGGGTCCCCATATCCTTGGGTCCCCATCTCTTGTGGTTGCCACCCCCAGGTCCTCCATCTCCAGGTCCCCCTTCTCTGGTGGCCTTGTCCCCTGGGTCCCCATGTCCTTGGGTCCCCATCTCTCATGGTTGTCACCTCCAGGGAGACCATCTCCAGGTCCCCACTCCCTGGTGACATTGTCCCCTGGGTCCCCAATTCCAGGGTCCGCATCTCTCATGGATGCCACCTCCAGGTCCCCCATCTCCAGGTCCCCCTTCTCTGGTGGCCTTGTCCCCTGGGTCCCCATGTCCTTGGGTCCGCATCTCTCGTGGATGCCACCTCCAGGTCCCCCATCTCCAGGTCCCCCTTCTCTGGTGGCCTTGTCCCCTGGGTCCCCATGTCCTTGGGTCCCCATCTCTTGTGGTTGCCACCCCCAAGGTCCCAATCTCCAGGTCCCAGTTCCTTGGTGACATTGTCCCCTGGGTCCCCATGTCCTTGGGTCCGCATCTCTCGTGGATGCCACCTCCAGGTCCCCCATCTCCAGGTCCCCCTTCTCTGGTGACATTGTCCCCTTGGTCCCCAATTCCAGGGTCCCCATCTCTCATGGTTGCCACCTCCAGGGTCACCTTCCCCAGGTCCCCCATCTCTGGTGACCCTGTCCCCTGAGTCCCCAATTCCAGGGTCCCCATGTCCTTGGGTCCCCATCTCTCATGGTTGCCACCTCCAGGGTCACCTTCCCCAGGTCCCCCATCTCTGGTGACTCTGTCCCCTGAGTCCCCAATTCCAGGGTCCCCATGTCCTTGGGTCCCCACCTCTCATGGTTGCCACCTCCAAGGTCCCCTTCCCCAGGTCCTCATTCCCTGGTGGCCTTGTCCCCCAAGTCCCCATGCCCTTGGGTCCCCATCTCTCATGGTTGCCACCTCCAGGGTCACCTTCCCCAGGTCCACCATTTCTGGTGACATTGTCTTCTGCGTCCCCAACCCCTTGGGTCCCCATCTCTCGTGGTTGCCACCCCCAGGTCCCCCATCTCCAGGTCCCCATGACCCAGGTCACCATCCCCACCAGCCACGGGGTCCCTGTGCCCCCCACCCCGTCCCCGGTGTCCCCATCCTCCCCGGTGCCACCACCCGTGTCCCTGCTCACCTGTGGCCAGCTGCAGCGCCAGGCAGGTAGCCAGGAGGGCCGGGCAGGACGGTGACGCCATGGGGACCAGGTGGCCACCTGCAGCCGGGCGGGGGTTGGGGGGCGTTGACGTCGGGGTGAAGGACCAGGGCTGGCACCTCTGTGTCCTTGTCCCTTGTGTCCCCATGGTCCCATGTCCCCATCATCCCTGTCCCCATCTTGGTGTCCCCATGTCCCTGTCCTCATCCCTGTCCCCATCTTGGTGTCCCCTGGTGTCCCCATGTCCCTCTGTCCTCATCCCTGTCCCATCTGGGGGTCCCCTGGTGTCCCCATGTCCCCATCCCTGTCGCCATCTGGGGCTCCCCTTCCCCTGGTGTCCCCATGTCCCTGTCCCCGTCTTGGGGTCCCCTGGTGTCCCCATGTCACTGTCCTCATCCCTGTCCCCATCTTGGGGTCCTCTGGTGTCCCCATGTCCCTCTGTCCTCATCCCTGTCCCCATCTTGGGGTCCCCATTCCCCTGGTGTCCCCATCCCTGTCCCATCTCGGGATCCTCTGGTGTCCCCATGTCCTTGTCCCCGTCCCTGTCCCCATCTTGGGGTCCCCATGTCCCTGTCCCCATCCCTGTCCCATCTGGGGCTCCCCATGTCCCTGTCCCCATGTCCCTGTCCCATCTGGGGCTCCCCTGGTGTCCCCATGTCCCTGTCCCCGTCCCTGTCCCATCTTGGGGTCCCCTGGTGTCCCCATGTCCCTGTCCTCATCCCTGTCCCCAGCTGGGGGTCCCCTGATGTCCCCATCTAGGGGTCCCCTGATGTCCCCATGTCCCTGTCCCCATCCCTGTCCCCATCTGGGGGTCCCCTGGTGTCCCCATGTCCCTGTCCCCATCTTGAGATCCTCTGGTGTCCCCATGTCCCTGTCCCCTTCCCTGTCCCCAGCTGGGGGTCCCCTGGTGTCCCCATGTCCTTGTCCCCATCTTGGGGTCCCCTGGTGTCCCCATGTCCCTGTCCCCATCCCTGTCCCCATCTTGGGGTCCCCTGGTGTCCCCATGTCCCCATCCCTGTCACCATCTGGGGGTCCTCTTCCCCTGGTGTCCCCATCCCCTGGGTCCCCATCCTCTGGGACCCCTTTCCTGTCCCCATCCCCATGTCCCCATTCCTGGGGTCCCCTTGTCCCTCTCCCCATTCCTATCCCCAACCCCTGGTGTCCTCATGTCCCTGCCCCCATTCCTGTCCCCATCTGGGGGTCCCCATCTGGGGGTCCCCATCCCCATGTCCCCATCTCTCTCCCCACCCCAGGGTCCCCTTCCCCTGGGGTCCCCATGTCCCTGTCCCCATCCCTGTCCCCACCCCAAGGTCCCCATCCCTTGGGGTCCCCATCCCCTTGGGACCCCTTTCCTGTCCCCATTCCCTGGGGTCCTCATCCCCATATCCCCATCTCTGTCCCCACCCCAGGGTCCCCTTCTCCTGGGACCCCATTCCTGTCCCC